CGATTATAGAGATTTTACAACTTTTTTAAATCTCGATTACTCTACTGACAATTGGGATGATGCCAGGGTATGAAAATTTAAAATCTAATTAGTCTGTAAGGTAGGTAATGAAAAAATATTGGACATATATTTTATTATTTTGTCGTATAAGAAAACAATAAGTACTAAGGCTGGGTTGTACCAACTTGACGTAAATTTGTAGGGTCTATTCGCATCGTACGCATTCGACGATAAATACCTCTTCGAGAATTAGGTAGATAGTGTGATATTTTGATAATGTACTATGAGTTCGTATGCACTTTCGAAGTTTGCTTTTGCAATGGTTCACCAGTTAATTTTTGTTTTAACCATTTTATTTCTTTGTAAAAGTATTGTATTACCAACACAGAACCATTTTACTTCGGAACGAAAATGAAATAGATTTCTTGTTGTATAAGATATGACACATATAAGAGGTATCGATGGCGAATCTAGATTTGCCATCATCAACTTTTTGTTTAATTGCTTTTTATGAAGGTTGGTAAGTCGAAGTTTGACTTCTGATTTGTTTCGTTGCGAGAACCAAGACGGTTGTTCGTGTCCCTGGGACTTGTGTGTGACAGTGGTCCGGTGTTTTCATGGTTGTATCTACTATTACTATAGATCCTGGCTTACAGGAGTTGCCGCGGTTTTGGAGGGTTGTGGTGGGATTGTCCTAATGAACAAAAAAACAAAAGGTCAAAGTCTAAGTATAACTATTTTACAAAATAATACCACACGTATTATTTATTGTCAATATTTTACCACTTTTGTCCCACAATACTAAATACTGCCCCTAGACAACAATGCATTCATTGTTAATAAGATCCTATTTTACAAAATAATACCACGCACACATTTTTACGACAAAATACACTTAAACAATGGAAAAGATAAGCAGTGTGCGTAATTGTACTTACCTGTAGTATCGTGAGTTCCTGGGAGTTGGTGAGTGCCTAAGACATCATTTGTAGTGTGTGCTACCGAGTAGTTTCAAAGTAGCTTAATTATCTTCAAAGTCCCCAGGAGGTAATTGTTGCTGTAAGATAAGAAAGCATACCGGCCATTTCCATTATAACATGTCTATTAATTTAAATTAAAAAATCACGGACCAGGTTCTTAATTGAGGGTCACAAAGTTTCAATCAATGGAGAGTCTCAATTGGAGACCAACTGCCTAAATTCGTAGACTACTAATTAGACTAACTGCCTTATCCCTTGAGAGGATGTAAGCACGACTACTGAACCAAGGATTGTGTGTTGATGCTTAGATTGATTAATTTCTTGTGGAGATTTTCTATATCCTGTCACGCGGTTTATATTTACACGTGTAAAAAGTGGGTGTTACATTTAATATGCACATTGTGTAAGTCGAAGATAAATTGCAAAACTTACACCGCGATAATAGGGATAATGACAAGGTATGAAAATTAAAAATCTAATTAGTCCGTCAGTTAGGTAATGTAAAAATATGTGAGACGTATTTTTTTATTTGTCGTAGGTATAAAAAAACAGTACTTAGATAAAACGAATCAAAGTTAAGAAGTGGGAGGTACCTAACTACGTCATGCGATATTTCAAATCAATATATCTTCGAAACTATTCGTTTCCGTAAGAAATTGACAATATGAAAGACGGGCATTAAAATAAAAATGACATTCTCTACCCTATTAAAATTTTAATAATTTACTTTAATCTTTACGCGACGTAGTATTTACATAGGCGGACTTAATAAGATAGGCTTATGTTCTTAGATTCATGAAACTATAGCGACATCATACATACATTACCATAGCTCAACCACCATACCTCACATTACCTCCGTCAGAACCAGATTACCATTACCACACCTCTGTGAAGAACCATCCAATACCTCCGTGTTTGACTCTCAGTTCTAAGAAACAATGAAACGTTTTGAAAAAGACGTACGTTTTTGATATCTGTTAGAAACTTGTACTCGTCTCGAAAGAGACGTTTGGTACGTTTTTGACCACTGTCCAGAAACCAGATACACGCAGCAAGCAATCAAGCAGAAGCGGAGCTCGAAGAACACGAAGTCATGGTCCACAGCACAGGTGGACACTTTGTCCATTTTTATAAAACTATTCAAATAAAGACATAGGCAACGTGTAAACAACGATATGCGTAAATGATTCACTTTAGGGAAAACCGAGCCGAGGGTATTAAAGTTGAAAGGTTATCTGGATAGAGTTGAACTCATCATCAGCTCAGCGGTAGCTCTTATGATAATATTTTTATACACATTGCTTTGGTATCGTAATATATATTCACATTCACATAGGAATTGATTAGGGGTATTCCACTTTGCGCACCTAAATGAAGCGCACCCAGACGAAGCGCACCTAAAGTATTCCACTTTGCGCACCTGTAGGTGCGCTTAAAATAAAAATTTTAAATAAATAGTTTTTCTATTCCACGAAGCGCACCTACGAATATCACTCGCATAGTGCGGAGACTAAGAAATAAAAATATCGATATAAGAACATATTTATTATTTAAAAGACTAACTTAAATTTCTAACATCATTCAGTTTCAATATAATAATGTGACACAATATTGATATTTGTCCATGTTTTTATTGTAATTATGAAACAATCTGTGATTTTTTATGTTAAAGTAGAGTATTTTTATTGTTCACTAAACATGTAGCTATAAGAAAACTTCAACAGATCTTTATGTAAAACCATATTTACAATGTTTTTCATATTTGTCCATGTTTTTATTGTAATTATGAAACAATCTGTGATTTTAAATAGTAAGATTATAAAATCAAAATGACAAATATTGTGTCACATTATTATAATGAAACTGACAGATGTTAGATATTTAAGTTAGTCTTTTAAATCTATATCTATACATATAATAAAATTGTAGAAAAGTGCTGTCTGTACATTGAAAATAAAAATAAAAAAATAGTAGGGGTTATTGTTATGTCGATGTCGAACCCAAAAATGTAATTAACTTTTTTTTGTCTGTTCACGCTAATCTCAGAAACGGCTGATCCGAGTTGGATGCGGTTTTCACGAATATATTGTGGTATGCTTCAGTTATGCTTTAGTGTTTGTTTCATGTCAATCGGGTTATAAATAAAAAAGTTATGTCAAATTAAAGAATCACGTCGAACACTATTCTATGCTTATACATACAAAATGACTGTGATTATGATCCAAAATAAAAATAAGTATATATTTAAAAAAAAACGCTGCTCATAGTCACTATTCCACGCGAACGAAGTCGCGGGCACAGCTAGTAATAAATTTCTATATCGAGTGTTTTCTTATATCGATATTTTTATTTCTTAGTCTCCGCACTATGCGAGTGATATTCGTAGGTGCGCTTCGTGGAATAGAAAAACTATTTATTTAAAATTTTTATTTTAAGCGCACCTACAGGTGCGCAAAGTGGAATAGGTACTTTAGGTGCGCTTCGTCTGGGTGCGCTTCATTTAGGTGCGCAAAGTGGAATACCCCATTGATTAGAGTAGACCCCAGATTTGATATCATCACCTAGTGTTTAATTGTTTTGTTACAAAGTAGCAGTTGCTAAGTCAACACCTGGGTGGTCCACTATTTTATAAAATAATACCACATGCACATAATTATACTTACTGTCCCTATATACGAGTTAAGTACATTCATTGTTTAATCATTCTTAGAAAAAGACGACAAAGACACTTAAACAAAAGAAAAGATAAGAACTGTGTGAAATTTTGCGATAAGGGTTAACTCGTCGAGTACCGGTTTTATAGACACAATTAAAGAACAATAGGTCGCGGTCACCGGTGACCGCTTGGTGTTTGACAGATTAAGCTCCGCCCACTTTTTACTGCGTCGTGATTGGACCCCCGCCCCTAATTGTCCCAAATATCTCAGGTGCGCGTGCGCCTGATCATCCCTTGCCTAGTAGGTACATTCAGTTACAGTATACATCCCGTAAGGATCGTTACTTGCTACTTGACTTGTACCCGTTACATACCCTGTAGTATCGTGAGTTCCTGTGAGGTAGTGAGTGCCTAAGACATCATTCGTAGTGTGTTTGTGCGAACTTTTCAAAAATGTATTCTGGTAATGCGGACCCACAATGCGTGTCAATATGTGCTCGGAACAATTCGGTAAGTGATTAGTTTTTATTTGTCAATTTACTGTCGAGGGGTTATGGGTTCGATTATAGAGATTTTACAACTTTTTTAAATCTCGATTACTCTACTGACAATTGGGATGATGCCAGGGTATGAAAATTTAAAATCTAATTAGTCCGTAAGTTAGATAATGAAAAAATATTAGACTGGTATTTTTTTATTTTGTCATTAGGTATAATAAAACAATACCTACTTTGGTAAAACGAATCAAAGTTTAGAACTGGGGGCTAAAACGTCATTTCTATCTACGTATAAAATGTACATAGAAGTGACGTCCCACGACATTTCAAATCTATATAATTATCGTTGAAAGTAGGTATTCGTTTCTGTAGGAAAATAAAAAATACGTGTCTAATGATTTAAAATAATATACCAGACGGACATTAAAATAAAAATTAGGCATTTACCCTATTAATTCTTACACTCTCTGTGATGGTCCAGTGTTTCTGATTGACCCTTTATGAAACAAGGGCTATGGTATTGTTATGTTCTCACGTGTCTCTCTGATATTTCACCAAATTAACGAATGTATTTGTATTTGTCCCTTGTCTGCGAATCACTGAGGTCGTTTTAAAAAGTTCCTTAATGAATAACAGTTACATAAGCTACAAGTCACAAAAAATATTAAATATGTTGTAAAAATATGGGTTTAGGTATTACGTTGCCGAACCCGTAATTTTACGGGAACAATATACAATAATGGAATCTTAATCATAGCGCCAATAACTTATAAATATCGCAGAAATAGTTTATGGGTCGCAGTACTAATCGCAGCGTTGTTCCAGGTACCGGGCACAGCCCCCACTAATGTAAACGCCGCCAACATGGCCACGCCTACTCCTGCGCCTGCGGCCGCCAATCAGCGGCTCGGACCGGTAAGTTTATCAGTACATTTACGCTGTTTGTGCAACAGCTCCGCTAGCTGCATGTTCTTTCAACATTTAGTATCGCATTGACATCGTTCGATAATATAATTTGTTTTATTGCAGCCGGTACCTAAGAGTATCGCCCCTGTTAGCGCCTGGCAGCGGCGCGACCCGCGACTGGCGCGTCTACAGCAAGCCGTCGTGGCGCCCACCAACGTCTTTGAAACGCGCCGCCGCGATGCGCGCCGTACTCGCCAGCAACTGAAACGGAGGTCTGAAGAACTGCTTCAAGCAGAGTCAGAACGCAACCATGCCGATACTAAACCAGAAGCGGAGCGTAATACGATGGCTGCTTATGTCGATAAGTTGCCTGACCCAAAGACAATTGAAAATTTGCCAAGTATTCCTAAAATTACCCGGCCAGAAGTCAAGCGAGACGGCGAAGCCGCGCCCGCTAAGCGCAAGCGTAAAAATGTTTGCACAGAGCTGCCACCTGCTGCGGAGAAGAAGCGCGCGTCGTCGCCGGAGCTGGTGGCGTTCAAGGGTTTGCGCAATGACCATAAGGAGCATCACATGCATCGCAACCGCGACAAGTCAGCAAGTCCAGAGCACGTCGAGTCAGGCGCAGAAGGCGCCGTGACCTCCGAGCCCCCAAGTAAGATATACCTCTCTGTTGTGCGCGTCGCCCGCGCCCATGTGATATTAGATGTAAGTCGAAGCGTGCAAACGCCTGTTGTGTGGAAAATAAAATGTTTTTTCAACTCTTGGAGTATTTATTCATATTGACGGTTTCAACAGCGCACTGTAGATATCCTTATCTAACATACAGAAAGCTAACTTAACAACTTACTTACACCTATCCGTGGGTGTAAGCTATAAGTACTTACGTCTGACCAATAATAGTTAGTTATTGTTTGCCTTTTAATTGTTACTTCTTGTTTGTTTTGGTGTTTGGAGTCGGTTTTTTAAACACAGATTTTTATTTTAATGAATACATACCTACAACAGACCGCTATCAACTCAACATCTAATCGACGTAACTATATTCTTGCCTACCAACCTCGATATGCAATGCTTCATGAAGAAGTATTTGGACATTTAAAACTGTTTTATTCAGTTTTCTAATCAATATAGATACATGTATAATTATATTTCATTTTATTCATTTTACAATTTTAAAGCACACCTTCCAGGCATTTTAATTGAATATGTTATTTGTTATAGATACCGAAAGAGAAAGGCGTCGTTTGTCCAGTGAAGATACTGATCTCAGGGAAGACGATGAACAAGTACCAAGCCCGAAAACGTCGCCTAATAAACGAAATAGATTTGGTGATATTGATGAGAGTATCACACCGTCTGTATACCTTGACACGCCGCCCGATAGCCAAGGAATGTTGGGTCAGGACTCGGATATGCGACTCGGTGCTGAAGCCCTTGATATGAAAACAAAGGGTTTGCTCCCCATCCTACCCATGATGCCAATGTGCAGCCCTTACCAGCAACACATGCCGTGGCGTGGGACAAGACCACGAGCAGGTGAAGAATTCGGACCTAGACGATTCCGAGGGCCAATGCCACCATACTTCCGAGCCGGCAAGTTTGATAAGAGGGCTGTTAGAGCGCCTTTTATGCCCTTTAGCCCTCGTATGGCAATACCTCTTCTAGCTACACCCAAAATTGGGATGTATCAAGGAGAGTGTCCTCTAACACCTTACAAACGAAGCGAATCTCCACCTCCATTAGGAACTCCAGACTTCGCAATCCCACCGACAGATTTTAAAGTAATTAACTATATTGATCAGGACCCCTTCAAAATCATCCAAATTGATGGTATACCTCGGGAAATCAGGTTTTACGGTAACACCGCCGTAATTATGCTGGATTGGGATGATCCAAGGGAAATCAAGTTCCTTCCTGGATGCAGAAGAGTAATATTCGACAGTAAACACTCAGTAGTATTAACATTCAGTGAAGGCTACAAGCAAGTGGAGTTTGATGATCAAGTGTTCAATATTAAATTTGGTGCACCGACACGAGAACTGTATATAAACGGTAGGTGGCACGAATGTTTCTTCGGTGGACAGCCATTTGGCGTAATTATTGACGGTAAACCAAGATTGGTTCATTTGGAGGGCCCTATGCCTCAAGTGGACATCGGTAAAGCTAAACGTACCGACTTAGTAGCCGGTAAGATCAACCTCATTGTGAATGCTACACAGATGCATCCAGTGTACTTGGACGCAAAGGTACAAAAGATTTTGGTCAATGGACAGTATCTGACCGTGCGCTTCGTAGATTCACTGCGCACAGTATTAATCAATGAACAGCCTTTTAAAGCAGAGTTTGGAGGCCTTCCCAAGCCAATCGTTGTTGGCAGCGAGAAATATTCTATAAGGTTCTCCGCTCTGCCGAGAAATATTAAGCCTGGACATGTCCAGATAGCTAATATGGAAGGCATAGGCTTACCACTGCTGTCACCCGTCAAGAAAGATGGTGAACTTAAAAAAGTAGAAAACCCAATAAAAGTTTACCAACAAGAACAACCCATTGCGCGTCTGCTGGAGACTCCCAGCTCTGAACTCAATCTGGACATGTTGGTGAGCGTCATGCCGTCCAGTACTGTGCCCGTTTCCAGCTCGGAGTACAGCGTGGCCGAACATCTATTCTCCAAAACAGACAAGTTCTCTGGACTTGAGAAGTCTATGGAAGAAAACCTAGCTCCAGTACTGCCAATATTAGGCAACATGAATGGCAACGACCTTTTCAATAACCTGGTGGCGACTGGTATTGTGCAAGTACCGAGCACTACCCAGCCAGATCCTCAAGAGGAAGCGAAAAATAAACCTGAAGAAGTTAAGAATACACCAAGGGAAGATAAGAATATTATTCAAAAGGTAGATTTTATGAAATCAGACACATTGAGAGTGTAAGTATTTTATTCCTTGTGACTGATAATTTTCATTTTGTGAAGTTGTATAAGCATACTAAATGTTTTGTTTCCTTTTTAGTAAACAACCAGGACTGGTCGCTACGTCGTACGGCGGGAAGCAGTGTTTAGTGTGTGCTGTTCGGTTCCCGTCCGAGCACACGGTGCACTACTGGCAACACTTGGACTGGCACTTGCAACAGAACCGACGCCATAAAGACGCAGCGCGCCGCGACCACTCACGACACTGCCACTATGACCGCTCCAACTGCACGAAGTGTGAGGAGGTCGAGGACTTGGAGGAGAGAGGTAACGTATCTATTCAAATGAAGATTGAAATTAATTATTATTACATTAAGTTCCTTTTTATATTTTACTAACATTAATGTTTTCCATTGCAGAAGAGAGTTGGTTCGAGACGGGCGGTAACCCCGCGGCATCAGGCGAGGCTGCGGTGGAGGCGCCGTCGGTCGCGGCGTCGGAGTCCACCTTACACTGCTGCGCGCTATGCGGGGATATATTCCAACAATTCTTCAACAACGACGAGCAGGAATGGCACATCAGGAATGCTATCAAACACAAAGATGATTACTATCATCCACTCTGCTTCAAAGACTACAAAACGGCACTAACAAAGGCAGGAGAACCTAAAGTAAAGGAGTCCTCTGAGGACATCGCATCTGAGGAAACGATGGAAGAGGAATCCATTGAGACCAAAGATGTGGATAGGACTGCAGAGCAGTCTGACGACGACTCTGTAGATGAAGACGTCGAGGACCCGAGGGAGTTGGACCCCGTTGATGTAAGTATTAAATTTAACACTTTTAATTATTCTCTCTGAAAAGAGATAATAAATAAACACGAGACACCTACCTAAGTAAATATACCCGAATCTCGCGATAAGCTTTAACATCGTTGGAATTGGGTGGTGTTATTGCAACAGCTAAGCATTTGTAGTCATCCAAATTAAACCGATTGAGTATAACTGCTTCAAAATTTGGATACAATATTCCACTTCACAAACATACATATTTTGGGCACATTATTCATACACACATTTCCTTCTTTCTATATTAGTTTCTTATGGCACTTTCTGAATCGACGAGGACGAAGATAATGAAGCTGATGGCTGTTTCAAAGCAGAGCAATTGGTCGAGCTTTTGGATGAAGATGACCCTGAAACGGGTGTTGAAATTAGTGCTGAAAGAGCTGCTCAAGGCCATCTCGCAGAGGCAGAGATTGATGTTAGCGAGATCAAGTTCAAGCGAGAACCTATCGATCCTGGTGAGTAACATTACATAATTATTCATTTACTAACTGACCCGGCGACCTTTGTTCCGCCTTAATGGCAATAAATAAGCAGTTTTTTTTATTGGAAAAATACAAAAAAATTAATACCTACATTAATCATTCATTATTATTCCTGTATTTTAGTACATAGGTTGCTCTTCACTCAAGTACGTTTTGATATACGGAATTGAGCCTCCAGTAACCTCACTTACACGACGAAACACAACGCAAGTGTTGCTTTACGTCGGTTTTCAGTGAGGCCGTGGTAGCACTTTTATTACTATTGTGTTACTATCTTTCCTTGATTTTACACATTTAACACATGATTTTATTAATACATATTTTTTCCATCCCCTTAGGAATAGAGAAACCAATAGGAACTGCTGACGAAGAAACCATCCCATCGCGAATATACCACACACATCCAACAGTGGAGTCATCTATCGACGGGGACCTTTAAGGGTGTGTGTAAGGGTACAAATTGTTACACGAGTTTGTATGATTGAAGAATGTGTAAATATTTAGTTGTATAGAATCTCTTTGCAGGGTTTTATTTCCTTGAGATGTGTTTTGTTGCCACATCAGTGGCTTTTCTTTTGTATAAAAATAAAAAGTCCTACAAAAATTAAATAAATGTAATGTTTTAAATAATGGTGTATGTTTATTATAGTTTAGGTTTATGGTAATCAGAATGAACCTTTCAATCAACTCTTTATCACATGTTGGAACTTTGATCACAATTGTTTGTTTGTTTAGTTTACAATGTGTAAATAAATATTTACATCATGATTTCTATCTTTGATTTCTCTCGACCCCGCCTGGAAGTAGTAAAAGACCTGGCATTGGCAATTAACAATATTTTAACAATTTTATTAAATATTTCACTTACATACTATTTACATTGACAACACAAACATGTTTGCTTGAAGAGTCTTGTAGAAATTAGATGAGAGTTACAAACAGGAACTAAAATCTCTAACTGCAATAAATTTAAATAAATTCTACATATCGCAATTATGTGGCCATCTTGGAAAAGGCAAAGTATCCTTTATATTACTGACATTACATAAAACTTGCAGTAGTCGTTCCAAACCTAAGCCATACCCGCCTGTGGGGATGTTACCAAACTTCCGTAGATCTAAATACCAGTTCAATCTATCCGATGGTAACTTGGCCTTCAGTTTCTCATAGCTGTCTTCTCTCAGACTACCACCTACAACTTCCCCCGTGATGGGTGTCAGAAGATCCAGTGCATCCACCTAAAATAAGTATAATTAATTTAATCTTGGTTTAAAGACAATGACAATGGATGAAACTTTTGTATTATTTTTTTTAAGCGGGGAAAATCAACGATTTTTTTTTAAGGATATCATCGAATGACTGCTCCCGCCTGGGCGAGGCGGGAGGGAGTGTCACTCTTACTGACTAAAAACCACCCCGTTCTTTCTCCTGCACTTCGAGCCGGAGCCCCGGTTACCCGTTAGGTTCTCCGCGACTCCGAATCGGCATCGGCCCTATTAATAAATAATAATAAAATTTTTATTCATAATAACATTGGTCAACATAGGTACAAAAATATCTTAATTAAGCGACAAGATCTTAAAAATAATATGCCTATACTAGGAATATTCCTGTGTCACAGGCGACAGGAGCTCTAGAAATATGTTACTGATAAGACAACTTATTAATATTATATTTAAAATATTAGACACAATTTTCAGAAGTAAGGTAGGATTGTTTAATATACTACATTACATACATACATATAATAACATCACGCTTTCTATTCCCTGAAGGAGAATAAAAAGTTGAACTTACATAATACATTAATATAAAGTTAAATAAAATATCGTAAGCTATATTCATATATAAACTAGATAATATTACATGTTACAAGGCTATCAATTATTTTAGATCGTCTGCAGAAACACAAAAATCTAGGTCAGAGTCCATACGGTCACTCACTTGTTAAAGTTAGATCAAATGTGCTTGGACAGCAATAAATTGCTGAGTAAGCCAACCTGTTAATGTGCAATTGTTATACAAGTGAACTAAACTAAACGAAATGAATAATCGAATTGGAATTCCGACTTCGAGCATTTTCTCTTTATGCGCCTTCATAATCGATGGAATTGATATATCTGTGTTCGGCTATCTTCCTGGCTGGGCACTCTGCGTCTCCTGTCTTGTGACTGTTGGGCTTGTTAAAGCGAGAGCATGTGGTACATTTTGGGAAGTCGATTGTCTTCGTGCACACGGATGTCATGTGTCCTGTTTCTCCACAATGGCCACACACTGAGTAGAGCTCCCGGCATGTCTTTGCCGCGTGGCCATACTGCTGACATTTATAGCAACGCGTTACTAACGTGAAGTCTCTGACAGGGCAAGACGTCTAGTTTATATAGAGTCTCTCTTGCGATATAAGCGCTTTACGGATGTTGGCTGGAACTTCGATGATGTAATTACAAGTCGGCGCGTCTTTTCTGCCAGATTTGTGACTTAACTTCACACTTGTTAGGAAAGACTCTATAGTCAACTCTTGGAACTTACCAGCTATGTTTTGTTCAAATATACACCTGAGGACATCAGCATCGGATAAAACAGACGGCACTCCTAGAACTGTGTCCTAGAACTATTGGGCCCCATCTGTGGTGATCTGATGGCTCTTTGAGTCGCGCGCGGAACGCAACGCGCCGTACGCTCGGGTCTGTTTCTGGTCGGACGGGGAGCCACCCATGCTCGCCGTTCGCAGGCCCGCGCTTACGGTGGCCGGAGGTCGTCCCGCGATCCCCGACGCCCGGTGTGTCCTTCGCGATGGCTGGGTTGCGAGGAGGCAGCGAATGCCTCAAGCGTCCCGCCTCCTCCTTAGCTAGCATGACTGCTTCGCAAAAGGAGGAGACAGCATCCCAGTCCCCCTCGCTCCGCATCATGGCCTGCACTAGGCCCGGACGCGAGAGGTCGCCATCGCCGCTCACTTCCACGAGGGCACGGCAGTGCTCAGCCCACGCAGGGCATTCTCCCACTGTGTATTCCACCATGTCCTCAGGGCGATCCTCGCAGTGATAACACCCGGGCGTTTCCTCCCGCCCCATCAGTAAAACAAATAAATAAAAATCAGACACAGGTACCTCCCGAAACTTCCATGTCCGGTGAGGACCTGCGTCAGGCGGTAAGTGAGGACGCCGTAGCGTCTCTCAAGCCACTCCTCAAAGAGGGGACTTACCGCTGCGATGGCAGCGAGCCCAGCCCTCGGTTGCGACAGTCGTTGCTGCCATTCCGCCATGAGATCGCGCCAGACCTCATCCCGCCAAGCACTATCTGGCGCGGCAGCGGAGGTTCGCCGACTCCCCGGAGATCGTGCGGTATCCTGATTCTGGACTGAATACGCGCGCGAGCACCTTCGCCTCCAGATCCCACGGCACGGCGGTAATCCGGCAAGGAGGTACGCCGCCTCCCCGGAGATCGTGCAGTATCCGCGGATCATTCGGATCCCTCTGTGACATGAGCAGCGCCAGGTTCGGCGCCCACACATGGGCGTTGTAAAGGGCCATGGACCGCACGACCCCGGCGTATAACCTCTGGCAGGAGGCGTTTGGCCCCCCGAGGTTGGGTAGGAGGCGCTTAAGCACCGCCCCTGTCCTCTCCAACTTTGGAGCCAAATGTCAGAAGTGCTACACGAAGTTCCACTAACTGTCGAAGACGAGTCCCATTCATCGTCGTCTCGACGCCGATGGTAACCCCTCCAGTCGTTATTTGTGACTCACCCAGAGAAAATTTTCGTATAAGATTGCAAATTTTTTAGAGTTAGGTTAAATTCTTGGGACTGAGGAAGGTTAAGTTTTACTATAATACATAAGAGTCATTTAACTCGTCGAGTACCGTATTTATAGACACAATTAAAGAACAATAGGTTGCGGTCACCGGTAACCGCTTGGTGTTTGACAGTTTAATAGACACAACAAGGTATTACTTTTAACTACTCGTAGCATTTGCAAGAATAGAAAGTGTCTCATATAGTTTACCTGTGTGTTATCTTCAGAACATTCCTTCATATAAAATGACTTCATATCCTTGGGCCACCTGACTACAAACACAGGGACCCCATTGCAATGTTCAACCAAGGTCAGCTCCTGTTCCTTATTGATGCCCTCATCAGTCAATGTGCATCCCTTCTGCAACAATATCTGTCTAGCTTCATCATAAGTAAGTGTCACAAACTCTTTGTTAACCCAACTAGGAGCTTTGTTATGTTTATCTATCAGGAAGAGGTCAGCCTCATTGGTGTTGCGAGTTTCAGTAAACACATACTTCAATAGATCTTCTATGGCTCCTTGTAGATGGTTAATATTTTCACAGAAGGCTAGCTCAGCTTCTAACATATAGAATTCAGACAAATGGAGCCTTGATCTAGAGTTTTCAGCTCTGAACGTTGGACCAAATGTATAGACATTGCCCATCCCTCTACACACTGCTTCTAAATGCAACTGGCCTGAGACTGTAAGGAATGTTTTTGAGCCAAAGTACACAGAGTCTCTGTCTTTGTTTTCTTGCATCATTGCCTTTATAGTCTCCTCGCTGTCTGGCTGTATTTTGAACACTTCTCCAGCTCCTTCACAATCATTTGAAGTTAGTATTGGAGTGTGGACATTTGTATAATTGTTTGAGGCAAAGTAATCATGTATGTGCTTCGTAACAGCACTTCGTATTCTCAATATCGCTGAGGTGTAATTAGTCCTGGGACGTAGATGTAAGTATTGGCGAGTATATTCAGGTGGATGTGTTGTCCTGGGGTTGAATGGATACCCATCTAACACTACACAGCTTCCTAAAACTTTGATATTATCTGCAACCAGTTCTAACTGTCCCCTCGGACTTTTGGACAACTTTCCAGTAATACTTACTGAAGAACCGTAAGTTAGTGCATCAGTAGTAAGATTTTTAGGAATAACTATCTGTAGTTTTTGTGCACAAGATCCATCACTGATGTCGGCGAATATCAGGTCTTTCTGTTTCCGTAAATTCTTGACCCATCCCTAAAATAAAGTAACAACTTAGTATTGCGTTCCAAAAGTTAATTTTTATAAGATTTTTAATTACAATATCACCTTTATCTCGGTAACATCGCCGACATTTGGTTTCTCTAAAACTGCAGATATAACGCTATATTTTTTAGAAATCTTTTTATTTCCAATACAACTTATTAGGTTGCGATAGCAATTACTTCGGAACATCATTATAAATATTTTAATTAAATAAACTTAGGTAGATCTTTTTAGTAATTTAGGTTATAAAAATAATAACAACAGCTGAGATACTTCACTAAACTGTCAGTGTCACTACTGTCAGTGTCACCTCATTATCTGTCACCGTTGGAAGTAGGTTCAGCTCTATGGACGCAGCACCGCACCTCTCTTAAGTAAATATTCGCTTCCCATATATTTATCGGTTAACACCGGTTTTCAGCCCGCAGCTAGTTTGCATAGCTGGCAAGTTTTTTTACCTGTCAAATGTCATTCGGCAAATCATGCACGTTCGATTTGTTGCGTTGTGAACAATTTGTGTATTTAATTTAAATATTATATTTATCTGTGTTTTAATTAATTAGTATATAACGTAAGTACGTCTAAAAGATATATTCCTTATAAAAATATATTTTTTTCTAAGAATCGTATGATGACACTGTTATAGTACTAGTGTAATAATTTTGTTAATAATTGATGATTGAAACTGGTTTTCCGAGTTATTGTGTCCTTGGCCATCGCGTTATGTTAATAAGGATACATAGTACTTTACGGAATAACGATATTTTCGATATTATTAATATGATAGAAGTTCCAAAAAAATTAATAGCATGGCCTAGTGATCCACTTTTCTTACTCAAAAAATTCTTTTTAATAGCACTTTCTACTGGAGAGGTGGTCACGTAAACGCATTAAGTCAGCGTTTAATCGTGGTTTCGATTTTCCACAGTGGCCAATATGAGAATGTGTTACTGGTTTTTATCTATTGTTATCTGATAAACTGTGGCAAAGTGAAACTCAGTAGTTTTTCTTTGATTTAATAGTTTCACGAAAGTCAACAACGAAAGAAGTTGTTGGTGACCTCTATTATTCCACATTTAATTAAGAGTATACATACATTTTATTTTACACAATTATATTTCTGTTACTAATTAGATTTTCATTACTTTGAGTGACGAATTTAATTACAGTAGTTATTCCAACTACACAACCTCCTCCTTAATAGCTGTAATAATTGATAACATGTTTTCTTGTAGAAAATGGCTGAGACAGAACCTCAAGCGGGAGACACTGGCCCACCCAAGGGTATGCCTGCCCTGAAGGCGCATGTAAATGCCAACAAAATAGACGTAGCACTATGGGCCATACGAGTACTCACTGTACTCTTTACCATAGGATATGTTCTACCTTTGTTCAACAAGTAAGTGCTGATATAATCTTTGTTTTAATATATTTAAATTATCTTTGTGTTCAAGCAGGGTGCAATGATAACAGTTTTCACTACAATGTACTAAATTTTATTAGTAACTGAGTATACTGAAAAGATTCAAAGAAATTACAATGATTTCTTTAACTTTTACACAACAATTTAAAGACTGATGAGTAATTCTAAAAAGAATTACTGACACAACTCCAACGTCATATTTTATTTTAAAATTCAGACTTTGTTTAGTAAGTTTAGTATTTTATTACATTGTAAAAGGTTTTCTTATTTCGAATAGAGGAAATAAGAAAACCTTTTGTTTTCTTATTTCCTCTATTACTAATAAGAACTCTTATCTTGCATCATTAAAGACACATTTGTCTAGCTAAAAATAAACCACTTTAACAAATAGTTGGCTGAAAACTAAATATATGAGATGAGCTTTTATTTATACTACAATTCTTACTTAGATTAAAACAATAAAGAAAGATGGACATCTGTTTCATCTCATTGTATTCATAGTTTTTCTGCTTTGTATAACAATAGATGTTCCGAAGTCTAATGCATGTTCAGTACAATCAAGGTTACCTTTGTTCAGTAAATTAAACAATGAGGATTACAGTAACACAGAGGGTAATAACCCTGACCTCTGTCACTAAATGGATTTGCTTATACTTCATATTTTTATTTTTAAAAGGATATTGATAATAAACACAAACTCAGTAACATTTTAATATGTTTCCATCTTTGTTAGTCTTCAAAAAACATTTGTTTTTGTCAATAAAACGAAGGCTATTTGAAATCTCATTAAGTATGTATTAAATTCTTGATACTTACCTCACTCAGCTACATTTTGTATAGTGTGTTAGCTGGTGTTATATAAAAACATAATAAATTGTAGTACCTATTTATAGTCCTGCCTAAAATATCACTATTGGTTGTATTAAACTGTCAAACACCGCGAGGACACCGGTGACCGCAACCTATTGTTCTATAATTGTGTCTATAATGACGGTACTCAAAGAGTTTAATAAACTTCCACGTTATTTTTTTATTAGTTTCAAAGCGTTTGATTGTGTATTTTGTATTCAGTCTTGGATCATCTGACTGAAATGGTTCACTGTACACAGACTCATTGAATGCACGGTTGGTGCGGTGGCTAGGCTGTCGTGCTGTGTCATGGGTTCAATTCAGCACAGAACAACACTGTGTGATCTGTGTCTGGGTGTCATGTTTATGTAAACCTGTATGTTTGTCAACCCATGACTTAGGAGAAAAATCCTAGTGTGGGGCAATGTTTTTTTGAAGAGATAATCTACTAGTATGGAATAAATAATAGTACACCAACCTATAATCTTTCAAAAACTGCTAGCTCTCATACTTAGGTAAATCTTAAGGGCTCTAATCATATTTGAGGGGTAAAACATACAAGATTCTTGAGTTCTATACAAGGTAATACCTAACATACATGAAGAAGCAATACAAAAGAATTATAGTCTTTGTGTATGTAGGCTTCAGTTGTTTTAGTTTTTTGGGTCAGTAAATGAATCTAGCCTTATCAGAAGTAAGATCTTGTGTATAGTGTCTTGTCTCAATGGCTTAAAGAGTGTTATAAAAAGTGATACGAACTACAACACATGACAGAATTGTATTGTTAATGGAACTCTGATTGCCTTTAGCTTTACTTTTTCTAAAGAACCTACGGTGGAGCAATATTTGACAATTTCTTTGCCCACACAGCCCAGTATCAGCGTTCTACAAAGCTCTGCTTGCGAACGCGGCGACGTCGGCACTTCGACTGCACCAGCGCATCCCGGCACGAGAGATCTCCATCTCCCGGGAGTTCATGGCCAGGTTCTTCCTGGAAGACAGTGCACACTACCTCTTCTACTCCCTCATCTTCATGAACGTGGCGCCTAATTTGTGTATCCTTTTTAACAATTATTTTTTATAGATCTATGAAGGCATTGAGAAGTATGCGTTATGGGTAAGATGGTGATAAAATAAAGAATGGAATAGGCTTCATGAAAGGTCAAAGAAAGTAAGTCCTTCCCCTGTAATATCTGAGTATTTATTTCTTCATTCAAAGTATTATGTCAAACTGATCACGAAAGTCACGAGTTTATTAACGAAATAGTGTAAACTTGTGTAATTTGTACCATGTGTAAAGGTACTAATAGTTTGTTTACACCAAAGTGAGCGTGTGTGTGTGCGTCGCGGCCATAATCTCTGTGTTATCTGTGCATTCTTATTATATTTTTACTATCGTTCCTGATATTACGTAGTCACACGTCATGTTTCGAACTTAATTTACATAGAATAGTACTAATAGTTACTTAATTATATAATTATAAGTAGACTAAAGTAAAGATTCTGCACTTCGGATAACAATTAATCGTCCAGATTTTCATACGAACATATGAAACTCATTCAAGCTAAAGAAACAAAGACCTAACAACATGTCTTAACTAAAATGTGATATCACTCTTAGTGGATTATGGAAGGCATGAGGCAGTTATCCACTTAAAATAACTTAGTAATTTTGCTAGTAAATGGCCAACAGAAAGTTAGTCGAGATTCCGTATTCCTAATACAAAAAATCACGCCTTTATTCCAAGAGATCGAGTCAGACACAACAGAACTCCATCTGCAACTTGCATACCTATTTTACTTCTTAATTACTACTCAAGTGTACCTACATACATTTACTGAGTAAGAATCTAATTCCTATGTCATTTGCTTCTTCGAAACTCATTGAATATTAGTTTTCACTTTCTACGACTTAAATTTGCACGTTCACGGCACGTGGGCGTTAACCTTGAGACGTTTGAATCAGTGATGGATGCGTAAATATTTTGGTTTATATACTTTTTATACCAGTCAAAGGTAACGACAAAACAATGCAACAGGTGGGCTTCGTACTCGTGTACCTAAAAATGCCGTTAGTAAAATGACTGCCTCGTTGGCCGAGTGGTCGCAAGTAGGACTGCCGGGCAAGGTCCCTGGTTCGATTCCCGGGTCGGGCAAAGTATTACTGGGTTTTTAAAAATCTCAGTAGTAGCACGGAGTCTGGAAATGTATCCGGGTTTATGGCAATAGGCTCACCCCCCATTACATGGGACTCATAACACAAATAGTGAAAAGTGGGTGTTACATTGTATAGTGGTGTTATGTTAAGTGCCGAAATGTGCACCTCTGCCAACCACATCGGGGATAAAAAGGCGTGATGTTATGTCATGTAAAACCGGATGAACTATTGTCCCATTGTCATTTCAAACAACTCTAGATCACGGTCACAGGCAGCGTATCAATGTATTCCAATTTGTCCCATTTTGTTAATAGACTTGGAACTTAATTATAAAACCACACAGTTTAAAATTAGAAATGCTCCCATTACAGCACTCACTAATATTAACCTACAGTATTATTGTTTGAAATTTATTTTCCTTAATCTCACATTATTTTTTGATTTTGATTTGACTTTCCACCTTAAGAACCTCGTTATTAAATTTAAAACAGGTTTAGTATAAATAAAAAAAGAAAATGTACCAAACAGGTGCTAATGTATTCATGTTCGAAAAACCAAGTTCAAGTCTTAAGTAGCACAGAGCGTGTGACAATTTAGTAGACCAATTTTAAGAAATCAAATTATTTTTATATACATACTTATTAATATGTGTAAACATGGATCCCTTCCTAATTAGAGTTGTTTAAAATCTGGCTGACCCACGTCATTGCATAACGGAGTCACCCAAGTAGTTTCGACCCCCCAACCGGAACCCTTAGTACC